TGCTGGAGCTGAAGGTCACTTGAGGCCTATCTGCTAGAGAGCAATTCAAAAAATGGAGTTTTAAAAAGATGAATTTGAGCTGCTGGTACCATGAAGAGGAATCAACTGTCTACCATTCTCTTATGGGCCTGCCGTAAACTTCAGCTGCATACTGGGCTTGTTTTTTTCTTGCTTTTGTTGTGTGTCCATAAAAACAAAACCCAGTAGATTTTGTGGTCTCCTCTTCACTTTAGTAGTTGTGCTGTTAATCCATCTGACAAATAGGCAGAGAACTTTCACAATAACTAATTTTTCCCTCTTGATCATTTTTATAACTATTTTTGCTCGAACATTATTATTCACACCTCCCCGTGTTCTTGGGAATGTTTAAAGATGTTACGCAATTTTTGTCTTAAATATTATTTTTTACTAATGCAGCTAACCAGCTTAAAATAGTGAAAGTACAGATAGCAGGGAAACAGACTCTAAATGTTGCACTGTGTGAAGTGCAGTTTAAATTATAATATTTAGAGTGACTTTTCATTGAAGCAGCAGTTACCCGGCGTTGAGACCTTCAGGGTTTTAACAGGCCTGATCCAAGCTCTTTGAAGGGAATAGACTGTAATTGATTTTTAGAAGGCTTTCATTTATGTCCAGTACTGACTGATCCTACTGACACTGGCTAAGTACTCAGTGGCTATGGGCAAGTGGACCAAACGGTTGAATCCCATAGGTATCTTGGCCCTGATGGCCAGATCACTGATCCTAGTTCTGGGTGTCTGGTTAGCATTTCAGAAAAAGCAGGAGGATCTGTCTATCCCAACAGTTCCCAATCTGTGGTACGGGTACCACCAGTAGTATGCAGACAGCCTGTCAGTGGTACATGTTAACAGATTTATTATAATTACTTTATATGACGGAAATTTGCTGGTGGTACTTAAAGTTTTATCATTTTAAAATTGGTCATGTGCAATCTGTCAGAATTTGGGAACCGCTGGTCTATCCTATATACAGTCTAATCTTCCAATTAAAGGCAGAAAAGATAGCTTCTTTCCTCTGTGGAAACTTGTCAGTTCTGTTAACCAGTCATGGTCTCTTCTTCCAGTAAGACCTTTGCTTAGAACCCATTGTCCCAGAGCAGTGGACCTGTAGTTGGTAGTTAATGGTACTAGATTGCTCCCTCATAGCCTCTCAGCCATAGTCCCTAATCTAAAGTTAAGTAAAAGGTTAATTGGAACATACACTATGAAGTTGCAATACAAAATGGAGTTCACAGTCTGATAAGGACACATCCCACTTTGTTATGGCCCGTCTTTCCCAGTGGTATGTAGCTTGACCGTTGAAGAGTGTAACTTGCAGTGGTTTTGTTTGTACTAGTGTAGCACCTAGAAGTCCAAGCTGTGGATCAGGGCCTCATTATGCTAGACACTGTACAAATACAGAACAAAAATAAGGGCTTATCCCAAAGAGATTCTATCAGTACTTTAGATTTACCAGTACTGGTATATATTGGGGACCTCTTTAGGAATAAATTGCAGATCCATGAGTGCTTATTACTAGGAGATGTATTCTCACTGATTTTAAGGATTTCTTGGTCACAGGCCTGTTGTTAGTCCATTTTTACTACCAGAAGAGTAATATTATACTTGCTATTTTGAGTAAGCATTTGTTTGATCTGTCCAGTGCTTCAGTGTGGATTTCATTGCAACTTGCATCTTTCCAGGCAAAGTTGGTAGAATGAGAATTCATCAACCTGGGTTTTTCAGTTTGCCTGTGGGTAGAACACAAATCTAGAAAAGGTGGAGAAAAAGGAAATGGAGGAGCAGGCACCTACTGCAACTTGAGTCTCAAACATAAACTTAAATAGTTTAGCCAATGGGCAGATCTTTCTGCATAGACATTGTGATGGTTGATGGCAAGGGATGATAACATTCAGGGAATGCAGAATTATTTAAGTGCAGATTTCCTTGAGCTCCTTGACCTGTTACATGAATGTGTGTTGGTGCTATGTGATTTTTTTTTTTTTTATTATGAAGAGGCTGACTGAAGTAGATGAATCAGTTGTGTAGGCATAACTAGGATAAACGCAAAAATATGTGGGGCACTGTGAAAATCCATTCTATACCTTAGTTGCCACTGAAATAATAAATGGAGAGAATAAGTGCTTCATCAGTTTAGGGTGTTGGACTAGAAGTCAGGAGACCTGAGTTCTGTTTCCAGATGTCACTTGTGTCCCTGCATTTCAATTTCACCATCTTAAAAAAGTGATGTTAATCATTTTGTAATCTGTACATGAGGTTCTAGATCAAGCTTGTTGTCATGTAAGTTTTCCCTTCCCTATAAATCGAGATTAGCAATAGGTGAGCATATGAAGTTTGTCTCCACTAGAATGCAAAATAGAAAAGGCAGTCTTCCCATTTGGGGCTTTACAGTGTAGTTAATCATGCTGTTTTTCTCCAGTTTTCCAAACTTTTAATTTATAAAATGGCCAGCTGTTGGTTTTCACTGCTGCAGTGCAATATGACCTTTCATTTTGGGCAGCTGTCTCCTCGGTGAGAACACACCCCAGAATGTTAGAGACAGGTGTGTTTGGGTGATCAGGCCTGAACCCTTCAGGATTTCTGCTCTAGGGCTGTAGAGAATGACCAAATCAGATGATGGCAGAGCTGTAGGATGCTTACCTTTCCTAATGCTACTCTTTGGGAAAGGGGTGTTCTGCTCATCAGGGCTTCAGGGGTACAGGTTGTAGCTGTGTTGGTCTAAGGACATAGGCAAACATGATAATTGGGTAAATCCAATATCTTTTATTAGAGATTTTTCCTGGTCTTCAGGGGTCATTTTGTGTCTAAACAGTCTCTCAGCTCCCACTATTTATGCTTCTCTGTTTATTTCCCAGATGTGCAAAAAGGATTTGTGTGTGCTGGGGTTGATTTGAGTTAAAATCTAATAAATTCAATCCCGAGTCTGCAAGGAGGCACTGAAGCAATAACATATCAGCATTGATGGGCCTTAACAGTTTGTTTTGTTTTTTTTTTAATCTGTGGCTCTCCATTACTGTTGGTTGTTCAGTGGTAGAAAGTTAGGTTGGTCTCATTTAGACTACAGTCAGATGTATTTTTTTTTCAAATTAGAATAAACTTTCATGGGTTTCCTCTTTGAAGGCAGATTTCTTAAGGATCATTTGCATTCAGCTTTCTAAAGAAGTTTACAATGCAGGATGGCCTCCACACTGTTCAGAACAGATTTAAAAATTACTAAGATTGATTTGTAAGGGACTGGAGATTTGGATTTTACTGTGTATTTGTGTTGGGGCAAGTCATGGAGGAGAGGAGCATTGTAAGAGTACAAAAGCTCTGTGTTTTTGAAGATAAGTGAATCTTGAACAGTTTCTTGTCCTTTTGATGGCAATGAATAACCAGGGCAAGGGGATATAAAGATCTTCTTACTTGCTCCCCCTAGCTATAACTTGCCTGTTTTCTTATATTGCGTGGAGTTACATCAGGGTATATTTTTGTATGTTCAGTGGCACTGGACAAACTAATTAAATCCAAATATCCAATCCCTTTAGAGATTAAGGTTAACATTACTTGGAATTTAAATAGTGGTAATTATTTGTTAAAGATATTTAATTTGATTCTTGAAGTTCACCCCTCTTTTTGCTATCACACACTGTCTCTGACTGAGGGTATACTCCATGTCAATTAATGGTATACATGGGGGCAGGTATTTACAACCGAAAGGACTAGACTTTCTTTAAATGAAATCTTGGATTCTAGCGATTTCTAGTAAAACACTGGAAACTCGTAAATGTAAGGGGTTTCTTTGCTTTCAAGTTTCTACTATCACTCCTGAGAACCCACTCTTAATTGACTTTTGTCAAAATTGTGTGGTGACATTAAAATTTATTCCTCCTCCTAGATTGAATTCTAGTAATACTCTAAGTTATTCAAATCCTACTTGAATTCTGTAGTACTGCATCATAAATTTTTTTATTGGTGATGCAGATTTTGCATACGTCTGGCTGTAAAGAATCAGCTGAATATGTGGGTTGCTCTACTGTGTTTAGTGACTTGATGTTGAGAGCAGGGCTTGATTCTTTGTGGCATAAAAGAGGTAATGGCGGCAGATTTCTTGACCAAATTCACAGATATTTTGTTCACCAGTTCTGCTGCATGAACTGCACTTGCTGAGATTTCTAGGTACAGTTACTACTTTCCTCAAGTGAAGGATGGGGATGAGGCATGGCTACAGTACCTGGGACACTAGGTAGCTGGGCAGGGAGCAGGTACATGGCAAGGGTGGGGAGGACCCACTCAAGGGTGCTGCCACTGTCCCCAAATGATCTGGGGCAGGGGAAGTCCCAGAGCCACTCTACTTTCGCTCCCTCCCTGGTCACCCCAGGGTCCCCTGCTGGGAGCAGGTGGGGGAAAGAGGAACTTGGGAATTGCTGCTGTTGTCCCCGGTGGAACCCAGCTCCCTATGCAGCCTCTCCCTCTAGTCCATGGCTGGAGCAAGCCAGGAGCGGTCCTTCTGCCTTTGTCAGCAAGGGACAGTGGTGGGGCAAAATGACTTTACCACAGATGAAACAGGACTAACTAAATGTAATGTTACTTTTCAGATTTAATGTATTGTGTGTCAGTTTTTATTCTAACACCATGTTTCACTGGCATAGAGATCTGTCCCTAGGGCTAATACCCATTTCCATTATCAAACACTTCCTCACCATGCTTTTTGGGCATCTAGCTTGGCGCACATGGCATTTTTTTTAATTGACAGAACCCCAAAGTGGTCTAAACTCTTCACAGTCCAAGTAAAAGGATGCTATCTGTCCAAAGGAGTTTACAGACTGGGGCATGATCCTGCAGAAGGGGGCAGTAAATTGGGGAAAAGTCAAAAGATGGGAGGACTTCAACAGATTGTGCAGTTATTCAACAAAGCATGGGGATGCAAAATGTTTTATATGTTTAATTTTGCAAATAACAATGTTGTGGTTAACTTTTCTCTTATATGTGTCTCTGTAGAAGTGGGTCTTAGAGGGACTTGAAAGAGAAAAGGGCCTTGTGGACCAACTTGGAATTTGCTTGAAAATCCTGATAAATGAATCAATGGCTTGGATGCAGACTTAATAACTAGTTTGTTTGAATCAGCCTTGCAAAATAGTCATGAAACCTTACCAACCCAGGCACAAAACTTTTCCTGGCCTTTACCATGATGATTTAAAAAAAAGTACACTTGGCAAGTGGGTGAGTAAAATTCTCAAAGGCTGACAAATTATTTGAGCTATTTAATTTCTCGAATGGTAAGAATCACTCCAAGGGAGTAAAGATACATTTTACAAGCTTGGATTTTTTTAATACATAAAATCATTGCTTGTGAAAGACACTGGATCAGAAGAAGCACAGCATGAGTTTGAGCTTCCCCATATATAGCATCACTAGAATGGCTTAGCCCTATTGTGGAAGGACTAACTGGTAGAAAAATAGTTCATTGCCATGGTCTAAAACTGCAAAGGTGCCTCTAGCCACATAGTTCTTTGGTCTGCATCTCATTCTATGAGGAATGGCACTAGGATTACCTGTTTGATAATGGAAAATGTTTTGATTTGAATAGGATGAGGAGATGCTACAAATGCTATGCCAAGCTCATTAGGGCTCCTGTCTTCAGCTTGGCATTGAGATCTGAGACTGTAAGGGCAAAGGGTGTAGGTACTCTTTAGGCACACAGATTCTAAATGTTTTTCTACAGTTTTGTTGATCTAAGTATCCTGAAGATAGAGTGTATCAATAACTAATCTGTGTAACATTCATTCGAATATATTTGGATGCATGTGATATCTGTGTAAGTGTGAGGTATCTCTGAAATTCCTTGTTTATATGGTTTGAAAATAGACTATGAAGAGCAAATTTGAACTATAAATTATTCCATTGCTACAAATGCTGTTTAAAACTGAGTAACACTAATATTCTTGAAATATCTAACCACAGAAGAAAGACTTAAATAGAATCTCTTCTCTCAGTTTCCTTCACTTTAGCGTTTTCCTTTACCTGTAATGTAATAAGATTTTAAAGATAGTCGTTTTGGATGAAAATTCTACTTCCAGGGGCTTATGACAGGTAAAAATTTCAACAACAAAAAAGTGCCCAAGTGATTTAAGCACCTAAATCATTTTGATCTTTTGAAAAAAAATATCATAGAGATGTATATGAATTGAATTTGGTCATCAGCTAGCCCACGGGTGGGCGAAATATAGCCTGCAGGTCAGCTTCGGCCCACTTAGGGGCGTTGTCCAGCTTGTGGCAGTCCCTCGGTCCCATCTGGGCTAGGTGCTGTCCAGCCCATGGCATGTCCTGCGACCACCTAGGCACGCAGCAAGGCTGGGGTGGCTCCGTAGCTGGACCGCCTTCCTAGGCAGCCCAGGCAGTGGCAGCTCCTTCCAACTGCTGCCCCATGGTACTAGTGGGGACCTGCACATGCAGACCTGACTGTGGCCTGCCCTACACCTGCTCCGCACTTGCCTGCCCACACTGGGCAGCATCCAGGCAGCAGCTGTTGCTGGACACACGGGAAAAGTGGCCCCTTCCCCATACCACTGCTGGGCCTCTCGCTGCAGCTACCTGGAGCCTGCACCCGGGCTGCCCTGCGGCTCCTCTGCACTGCTGCCCTGTGGGGGGGGCCTGGAAGCAGTGGTCATGATAGCAGAGAGGAGCCACAGGGTAACCTGGGCACTGAGCTCTGGGTGACTGCAGCAAGACGGGCCTGGCAGCAGTGAGGGGGAGAGGGTGCTTTTCCCCTACACCAAGCAGCAGCATCTGCCTGGCTGCTGCTGCTTAACGTGTGGGTGATCCAGAGCAGGCGTGGGGTGGGCCAGGGTCATATCTGTGCGCACAGGTTTTGGCTGGTCTGCTCTGGCCAGGGCAAGTCCAGAGCGGGCTGGTGCTGGGGTCAGGGCTGGGGCTTTTGCAGTGGGGGAATGCTGACCAGGGCGCAGCAGCTCTCCACAACTGCCTATGTGGCCCATGGGCCCAAATAATTTCCCACCCCGACCTAGTCTATAATAGCAATAGCAGCCTTAACCATAGTGACACAACTCAGTCTTACTTGGGAGTTGTCACTTCGAAGGCATTAAGATGAGGGGATTGCTGCCTTGCTGCCAGTAATGTTGATAATTTATAAAATTGGTTTCTGAGGTTTTTATTACTACTGTAATACTCAAAAACCCTTTCTGTGCTAGGCATATTTTCTGAAAAACTTTCCACCGTTGTTAACACCGAGTTCAGCTCTAACGCTGTTAATGGTGGGAAGCATAAAGAAGATAGCGGTGGTTGTCTGGAGCCCTGTATAGCAACAGTAAATACCAGGAACCTCTTCTGCAAAGTCAAGTATGTGGATAGTCAAAAGAAGCCAGATAGCAGAAAGAACACTCACAGGGGGGGCATGTGAGAGGGGCAGCTAAAATTAAATAGTTAAGTACTCAGTTTTATATAATCAAAATTTGTATTCCTTGGGTTTTAAGAATATTTCACAGTAAATTGCAGAATACTTTGCAGTAAATTTTTGTAACTTGCAGAAATGGTTATTGATCTTTAAAAATTCTCTCCTCTTTAATATTCTGTTCAAATAAATGACAAAATTTTACCAGATTTACCAGCTGTTTACCATTCTGAATGCAAGAGATAACACTTGCATAGATTTTAGCAAGTATTAAAATTCATATAAATGGATATATTGAAGCTAAGGCTCACTTCTGAAAAGTCCTTGCTACTTATGTGAAATCCCTTCCCTTTTACAAAAGAAAAATAGCCCTCATGTCTCTACATTCCAGGGGGGGGGATTCAAATTCTTACACCTTCACCTGTATCCTTTAGGGTAAATGCCCATTGTTCCTGTTCAGTGTAACAAGCAGTTGCTATATTACCAGTGTATCAACAGCATGTATCAACTGAGGATCAACAAATCTCCAAGTTGAGAGGACCAATTTTACTCTTAGGCCAGGGGAAATTGATATAGACTGACTTCTTAAGTCTATATCTATCCATTACAATGGAAGTGTTAATTTTATTAGAATTCACATCCTTCATCGGTAATAGACTATGGAGTTGGAATTATTTTACAAGTAGCTTCTCCTTTGCTTTACCTATAAAGATTTGAAGGTAGGGTCCTTATCAGATATAAAGTCTAATGATTGTAGATGTTTATTGCAGTATTTAACAGTTGAAAGATAAACTAAGACCTTGGAAGGGTTCTTGGTAAAGTTTCCAGCTCATGATTTAATGAGGAATAAACTATTTAGTCACATATTTAGTTGCTTGTCAGCCACTCAGTCAAATCATACTAAAAAAAGCTTAGAAAAGAAGTACTATTGATCACCTGGGCATTCTTAACTGGAGTCCTCTCTAGAATCCCATTTCAACACCAGAGACCTCCCTATGATGGAGTATGCCCAAGAAAGTTTCCATTAGCACAGTGGTGCTGTGATGGACTTCTTTAAAGCTTAAAAAAGTAATGCTGCCTAAGAGTACAAGGTGGGCAACCCCTGATGAACTAAAAATAAATTTTGATTTAATAAAGATGTTTCCTACAAAATGCAAAGATTTTCAGATGAGCTAAAGCCCATGTGCGGAAAGGAGTAAACTGACTCCTGTGAGCATTTTCATTTAATGGATAAATTCTGATCCTTAGTAGAAATGGATTTTACAAAATGGTCCCCAGGTGATTTTTTTGGATTGCTTCTCCAGTAGCCATTACATCCAGTCTCATTTTGATATGCTCATTTGACAACATCTTGCTTTACAGGTCACTTCAATTTAAGGACAGATGACAGAAAAATAAGCTATTTTTTTTCTTAATAAATGTTGACATCTCTTATGTTTGGTAATGCAGGTGACACATAAGAAAATTAAAAGTATAACTCTTCATGAAACAAAACATATTTTGACTTTAAAATTTTTCCCTGCTTGCTTTTTTCACTAGAAACTATGTTCCAACTTCCTGTCAACAACCTTGGCAGTTTAAGAAAGGCCCGGAAAACTGTGAAAAAAATACTTAGTGACATTGGTTTGGAATACTGTAAAGAACATATAGAAGTAAGTATGACACCTAACCTAGCGTTCCAATCAGAACCAAAGTGCTTTGAATTGGAGGGACTGCTGGTATGTGTGGTATTCTTCAATTTGAGAGTGCTCAGTATTTTTCTTCACATCACAAAAGTTCTTACTACTTTTTCTGGACCTCTTGATTTTGCTTGCTAGAGTTCATGAGTACATTCTGTTTGACCCGCTCACTTTATCCCTGTCTTCTGCTTTCCAGCTGAGAGCAACTTGGATGAGAGTATTAAGGGCTCGCTGCCATTTACAAAAGACTTTCTGATTACTAGGAGTTAAGCAATCCTGCTTTAGCAGCATTGTAAACCTTACCTAAAGTAGGATTTTAAAGTGTAATATGAGCTAATATGTTCACAAACACATTTTAAAAATGTTGTGTAGACCAGTCTCACTACCTAGATTTTAACTTGACTAGTTTGGCATGTGTTAAAGTCAGGCTGTCTACATTGGATTCTTAAAAACGTATTAGTTGGCGCTAGCCATTGTGCTAGCATCAGACTTGAAATCCAAACAGAGACAAATTATTAGTCTTTTGGACCTAAGGGACAGGAAATGAATTGACATTTTAACTAGGTATTTTGTCAGTGCAGAACATTAGGTCACTAAGTTACGGGATTGATTCAGTAGCTATACAAGTTGGACTCCCAGTGACTGATCCTGTGTTACTCTGTTATTGAGAAAGTTACGCTTTCAGGGGTGTTTACCCCTGTACTGTCACATTTCCACTGCTGTCTCTTCAGCGCTTCACAGACCTTTATGCATCAAAGCCTGCTGTAGTTTGTTTTAGCCACTAGCTTTTGACTTTCAGTGTGTTCAAGATCACTCCAAACTATGCTGGTATCATCCCCTTTTTACCTGGAGCTGGGTATACTCAGTAAGGGATAAAATCTCTAAGGCTACTTGCAGACGTAAAAAACCTCCCCACCCCCCATGGCGGTTTACTTTAAACTTGGCACACTCCTGCACCAAGCCCAGCGCATGCCCAGAAGAGGCAGTGCATTAGTTGGATCCAGCTGACCCAACGTCTGTATAGATCAAACGCATTAATGGTGTTTTTTAGCATTTTTATCTGATAGCTGATTGAATCAGCTTTAGATCTAAGCACCAACTAACCCTGCTGAAGCGTCCAGTCTATACAGATGCTGCAGAGCCACGTCAAACTAAGGCACTGCTTCTTTCGGTAAAGCATGGTTTTTGTTTTGTTCTGGTTTCCCATGTCTGTCAGCAGCCTAAGAGCCTAAGTGACTAACTCAGTCTATTTTGAATTTGGGATTTCAGCTCCTAAGTGCTATTGCTTTATTTTTTTTTCTTCTTCCCTCTCCCCACCCTTCCCTGAGGTGCTTTTGGTATTTGTACCTCTTGAAAATTTTACACACCCTTTGGTGATGAAGTTGTTTTGGAACTTTTAAAAGTGTCATGTAGTTTTTGTACCAAGGCTTTATAAAATTAAAAGCCTGGGTCCTTATTTGAATTACAAATGTGGCCTTAATAATTTTGAGCATTCAAGAGTTGTCACTGACTGACCTCCACGCTAGCTTCTGTGTGCTTAGTAGGGCTGTGCAAAGCTATGGTAGCCAATTTGTTTCGAAGATTTGCCCGATTCAGCAGCCAAATCTCCAAATTGAATTGGGAGACCCATTAATCTCTCCGAATTGAATCGGAAGCCTCCGGAGAGATTAGGAGATTCAGTCATAGACTGTATGGGCAGGCAGTGTCGGCGGTAGCAGCAGGACAAGCCCCTGCTTGAGCCGACAGCCCTGAGAGAAGCCACAACTCATCCGGCTGCCCCTCCTCCTCCTCCCCCCCAACCCTACCCCTAACCACCCTATTCCCCCCAGCCCCTGCAGCTTCTCCCCGGGCTGCCAGCACTGCCTGCCTTGCCCTGGTGTGGGTGCAGCTGGGAGAGCCACAACTTCTCCCAGCGCTGCTAGCTAAAGCTGGGGCTTGTCCAGCTACTCCCGCCGGCACTGCTTGCCTGTATAGTCTGCGGCTGAATAAGATTCGGTGCTGAATATCTTCCGGTTCAGCCAAATCGAATCAGGACAGTGATTTGAATCACTGAATCGAATTGCTATCCTTCCAAATTGTGGAATCTGAAGTAAATACTTTCTGCTTCACACAGGCCTAGTGCTTAGCACTTTTGAAAATTCTGACTTCAGCTTATTTCTTGTCACTGAGCCTGTCCACATCTGATGTTTTTTGAGTTATGCCTGAAACATAAGATTCCTTGGGAATGGCTTTGTCTTGTGAAGGAAAATTGTAGTTGAAATAAAACATGTCAGCTGCTTTCTTGAGAGGGGAGCGGTTTCTTTGGGTTAGTTTTTGGTTAACAGAGGACTGCATGGTGTGTTCACGAACAAATACTGGGGAACATTTTGGGTCTTTGTTTTTGATTCTCTGTGCTTTTTTTCCATCTTCCCCTCTTCTAGGATTTTAAGCAGTTTGAACCTAATGACTTTTATTTGAAAAACACTACATGGGAAGATGTAGGATTGTGGGACCCATCGCTTACAAAAAATCAGGTTAGTAATGGCCTCAAGTAACTGCATGAGGTCCTGAAGGTAGTTAATTTCAAATGGAGGTTTTATAAATACCCACTGCTTTTCTTGTGTTCTTACTACATTCATCAGTAGCTTTTGTAATCTTCTATTTAATGGATAATGCAAAAGGTGCTTTTGTTCTCCAAGTAGCAGTTTGTGATCTTGATTGAAATAACCAGGCACTGATGCCCATGTAGTTATTCCAGTAAAAAACTGCATTGAGAAACTTTAAAACGCCAGATCAATCATTGCAGCCTTAAGTGTCACTTCCCTAAAATGTTCTTCATTCTTGTCTTCCAAATCAGCACACCCTCGCTACCTCTAAGTTAAAAGATAACTGCAATTTCCATACGTTTCTTTACCTTTTCCTAGTTCACTTCCACCACCTGCTTCACATTTTTCTAAAATCATGAAGCAGAACAAATCTATGTGCTGCTTTCTCCACTGTTAATCTTTAGCTGTCTGCCACATCTTGAGGCTGTGTCTGAGCCTGTTTAGTTTAGGTGTGCATAAGTACATGCAGCAGAATGGAGCGATGCTGTTGCTGGAAGTTTCACTTTTTTTGGATGCTTGATTGTAAAACTAAAGGTTTGAACTGATCTCTGAGAAACTTAGGAAGGGATTGAAGCTGAGATGGTGAATATTGTCTTACTCTACTGATCAAGTAGCTGTGAAGGAGCACTGGATTTTTGTATGATAGCCTTTGCTGAAAGGATAGTATATAATAGTGAAACAGTGACAAAGTGAGAAATCTATTGATTTTTAAAAAAGCCATCATTTGGTGTCAATGTCTGGTATTACTCACCATTCAAAATGGGATGCGATATTATGTTAGGCCACTGGTCTAGTATTTTTAAAACTGAAGTTCCTTTGTTACTGTGCCCTTGAAAACATTACTGTGCGCTCTCTAATTTTAGTGCATTTGAAAATAGGGTTTGTTATATCAAAATCTAGAACTTTTGCTTAGATAACTGTGTGTTTTGGATCCTATTTCTGGAAATGGTCTTCAGAAGGTGGCCAAAATTATCTGTTCAATTATGCAGAGGGAGAATGTAGCTTCAGGTGATCCACTTGCACCTTGAAACATGAGACTTGTTTGCATAACTACATGTCTTCAAGCTATCTACATTTGTCATGTTTTAAGTTAAGTAAAATTTTGAAGTTAGGCTGACTTCAGACATCAACATTAACCTATAACTTAACTTCAGTTTGAATTGCAACCATCACATCAGCAGCCCTTTCAAAGAAGCCAGAATTCAGGGAGAGCAAAAAAGCTATGTAAGAAAACAGCATTTTTCAAATGCCTTATTTTTTTTCCTGATCCAAGATGTATTGAAAAAACCTTAATTCTGCTTTGATCAGAGGAAAGTTCTGCTTGAAGTTCTACTTTTCTTAAATATGACAACGGGTAGGATTATATTTAATTGAAAACACTGCAATTAATTTATGCCCTGAAGGGTTTTATTTATATTGCATGGAGAATATTTCTTATGCCTTTTGCCAAATTTGCTAAGTATAACTACTTCACTCTAGTTTGCATGCACATCCCCAACTCCTGTGTTACTTGGTTTGATTGAATGGTGTCCTTATGAATGATGCTTTAGTCTGGCTGGGAGAAAACTGATTCAGGAACAGAGCTGCTTGTGTTTTCATATCAAAGCAGACAACTGTTACCTACTTCTGTGTCTTGTTTGTTGGTTCCAGCAATGTTTTAGTTTTGCTCCATTTTCAGAAATGAGCAAATATAGAGCAAAGCTGTAAGGCTTGAGTGGCAATAAAACTGGAAGGCACAAATTGACACAACTGAAAGAAAGACTTATTTAAAAACCTTGCACAATGTAGTTTTAAGGAGCAACATCTTTAAAAGAAAAAACGTTCTAATGGATTGAAGCACATTGAAATATATTTTGATCTGAAGTGTTTTGGCTTTACAGTCATTTCAAATAGTCAAACCCACCTTTTTTCAAAGATGATGCCAGGAAACTCTTTTCCATGAAATCTGACTGGAAATGTAGTTTCCATCACCTTACAGAGAAGCGGACAGTTATGCATTATCTATCAATATCCCTAGACTGAACTTTCAAGGGGCATCCTTCATTTGTGTGTTCAATCTGGTAATTAAACTTTTGCTTACCTGATTTGGAGGCCAAGGAAAATGAATGTTATAAATGACTGGCAGAGTAGAGGTTGGTCTGAAAACTCAGCATCTAGGCTGAACTAATTCAAAGTTGTCAAAATTTGTTTAGGGAAAAAATTTCTTAAAAAAAAAATCCTCCTTTTTGATACTCGTTTTTGTTTTATTCTTTAAGGACTATCGGACAAAACCCTTTTGCTGCAGTGCATGTCCATTTTCCTCGAAGTTCTTTTCAGCCTACAAAAGCCACTTCCGGAATGTTCATAGTGAAGACTTTGAAAATAGGATTCTTCTCAATTGTCCTTACTGTACTTTCAATGCAGACAAAAAGACTTTGGAAACGCACATCAAAATATTTCATGCTCCAAATGCCAATACACCAAGTGGAGGCATAAGCACTTTTAAAGATAAAAACAAACATGATAGCCTTAAACCTAAGCAGGCTGACAGTGTAGAACAAGCTGTTTATTACTGTAAGAAGTGCACTTACCGAGATCCTCTGTATGAAATAGTTAGAAAGCACATTTACAGGGAACATTTTCAGCATGTTGCTGCTCCTTACATAGCAAAGGCAGGTGAAAAGTCACTCAATGGTGCGGTTCCGTTAAGTTCCAGTACCCGAGAGGAGGGTAGTATTCACTGCAAACGATGCCTTTTTATGCCCAAGTCATACGAAGCTTTAGTACAGCATGTTATTGAAGACCATGAACGTATAGGATATCAGGTAACGGCAATGATAGGGCATACTAATGTAGTGGTTCCCAGATCCAAACCTTTGATGCTAATAGCTCCAAAACCACAGGATAAAAAGTCTATGGGACTTTCTCAAAGGATGGGTCCTCTCTCTCCTGGAAATGTCCGATCGCTTTCGTCGCAGCAGATGATGAACCGACTCACTATACCAAAGCCTACGTTAAATTCTGCAGGAGTAAATATGATGTCAAATGTTCATCTACAGCAGAATAATTATGGAGTCAAATCAGTACCACCAAGTTATGTTGGGCAGCCAGGGGGAAGGCTAAACTTAAGTGGCAACGCACCAGTTTCTATTCCACAACAGTCCCAAACAATGAAACAGTTTTCACCAAGTGGGAATGGAAGGCCTTATACCCTTGGAGGGGAGCAGAGATCACAAGCCCCAGCAAGGTACTCTCTTCAGTCTGCCAACTCATCCTCTCTTTCATCAGCTCAGCTGAAGCAGACATCATTATCTCAGTCCCAGGCAGCGTCAAGAGTATTAGGTCAATCTGGCTCAAAGTCTCCTGTAGCTGCCACAGGCCCTTCGGCTGTCAATACTTCCTCAACACAAAAGTGGAAAATTTGTACAATCTGTAACGAGCTGTTTCCTGAAAACGTGTACAGTGTTCACTTTGAAAAGGAGCACAAGGCTGAAAAGGTGCCTGCAGTAGCTAACTATATAATGAAAATTCACAATTTCACTAGCAAATGTCTATACTGTAATCGCTATTTACCTACTGATACATTGCTTAATCACATGCTTATCCATGGTCTGTCTTGTCCGTACTGCCGCTCAACCTTCAATGACGTTGAAAAGATGGCTGCTCATATGCGAATGGTTCATGTTGATGAAGAAATGGGACCTAAAACAGATTCCACTTTAACCTTTGATTTGACGTTGCAGCAAGGTAGTCACACTAATATACATCTTCTTGTAACCACCTACAATCTAAGAGATGCCCCTGCTGAATCGGTAGCTTATCACGCGCAGAATACGCCTATTGTTCCTCCAAAACCTCAGCCAAAAATCCAGGAGAAATCAGATGTACCTGTAAAAAGCTCTCCTCAAGCAGCAGTCCCCTACAAAAAAGATGTTGGTAAAACACTCTGTCCACTATGCTTTTCAATCCTAAAAGGACCCATTTCTGATGCACTAGCACATCACTTGAGGGAGAGGCATCAGGTTATTCAAACAGTTCATCCAGTTGAAAAAAAGCTAACATATAAATGCATTCATTGCCTTGGTGTATACACCAGTAACATGACTGCCTCAACTATAACACTGCACCTTGTACACTGCAGAGGTGTTGGGAAGACACAAAATGGCCAAGACAAATCGAATGCCCCCTCTCGGCTAAATCAGTCTCCAGCTGTAGCACCCGTGAAACGTACTTATGAACATACGGAATTCTCTCTCATGAAGAAAAGAAAAATTGATGATGATGACTCACCATCTGCCTTTGAGGAAAAGCCTGAAGAACCTGTAGTTTTAGCTTTAGACCCCAAGGGTCATGAAGATGATTCTTATGAAGCCAGAAAAACATTTCTTACAAAATATTTCAATAAGCAACCATATCCCAGTAGGAGAGAAATTGAGAAGTTGGCTGCCAGTTTGTGGCTATGGAAATCTGATATTGCTTCACACTTCAGCAACAAAAGAAAGAAATGTGTTAGAGATTGTGAAAAGTACAAACCTGGTGTGCTGCTTGGTTTCAACATGAAAGAATTAAACAAAGTTAAGCATGAAATGGATTTTGATGCTGAATGGCTGTTTGAAAACCACGATGAAAAGAATTCCAGAGTCAATGCTAGTAAAACGATTGATAAAAAGATAAACTTAGAAAAAGATGAAAGTTCTTCAGACAGTTATGAGAATATAGAGGAGGAATACAATGAAAGCAATAGTCCGTTTGGTCAACGCATTTCTGATGTTGTTAAAAAAACGTCTGTTGATAGTATAGTAGAGAACGTGGAAGACAGCATATCAAAGGAGACTGCTGAGGAAAATTCTTTGCTATCTCCAGAAAAATCAGATCAGAAACAGGAGGAAGGTTTAAAATATGAAGAGATTCATTCTGCTGAGGAACCAACAAAGCTAGTAGGTGATGCTTCAGATAGTGATCAAGATGATGCTGTTGAATGGAAAGATGGAGCTTCACAGTCTGAAAGCGGACCTGGTTCTCAGCAGGTTTCTGACTTTGAAGATAATACGTCAGAGGTGAAACCGGAAGCCTGGACAGATGAATCATCCCAGAGTGAAGATGCTGGTAGTAGTAAGCCTACTGCAGAAACAAAGGGGATTGCATCTGAAAGTGATGAAGAACAGTCAAAGTGGAAGAATAGTTCCTATGGAAAAGTAGAAGAGTTTTGGTCTAAGGACCAGTCGCAGTGGAAAAATGCATCAGAAATTGAGGAGAGCTTATCAAATCAGCAGATGGAATGGCAGAATAGCACAATTGACAGTGAAGATGGAGATCAGTTTGACAATGTGACTGATGGTGTAGCAGAACCAATGCATAGCAGCTTAACTGGTGTAGAGCTGAGTAGCCAGCAAGCATGAACTGATTGATTCGGAAGCATCAGTAGTATGATCCAATCTACAACTGTCTAAACACTTTCACTTCAGTATGACTGAATGCTTAATTTCAGTAAGCTTAATTCTAACTGGTACTGCCTTTTGAGTGCTAGGTCATCTGATGAGTGGTTGATGTGGCCACTATTATTCCAGTGGTTATTTAAGTGCGCTGTTGGTTAATTTGCTTGAGAATACCTGCTGTGATGAGCACAGTAACTTAATGTGAAAACAGATAAGCTGGTGGCTCCAGAATGCACACACAGAAAAGCAGAGGTTTATTTTATCTGCATTTTCAATGTTTATTTCACTCTTGTACATGTTCAGTTGTATGTCTTTTTAAACATTACCCTTTTTCACATGGTAGTATAGGGCCAACATATGAGCTACCAGTTCAATGTGTATAGTAGACTATGGGGAAATTGATTTTTTTTCATGTATCATTCTGAATAGTTGAAATGTATATTTGTACAGTCTTTTAGACCTATTCCAGTGAAGCTTATGAAATTGTTCTTGTGTACCCATCATAGATTTGTTTCTCTTTTTTAGTGTTGCCCTGCTGTGTAATAAATGCTGTATCTAGTTTACCTAGCAAGAGCTTGAAACTGCTATAGTATGGATTTTGACAAACTTAGTTTTTGCACATAACCTTGTACAATCTCAAAACAGAGGCCAGCAACATAAAAATTATATCTGGACTCTATTGTATTATAGAATTTTCTTGTTCTGAATATCCTTGACATTACAACTGATGACAAATGTATTTCAGAGCCATTTTCTGAAATCTTTTAAGCTAAAAAGAAAAATCACATGCAAGAAACAAGTTTGCAGCTACTAATTTTGACACCTTTTAGATCTGTATAAAAGTGTATTGTGTTGAAGCAGCATACAGGAAAAAGTGCTGCATTTTGAATATTTAGTTTTATCTTTAGTTAACACCAACAAGGCGTTGTATTCATTTATACCATCTAATATATGACACACTGTTGTAGTATGTATAATTTTGTGATCTTTATTTCCCTTTGTATTCTTCATTTAAGCATCTAAATAAATTGCTGTATTGTGCTTAATGTAAATACTTGCCTTATTACAAATGCCATGTAATAGCTTCTTTTAAAATGTGCTTTATTTCATCCACCCCTTTTGAAAGAAGTTCTGAAGTTGTGCTCTGGCAAGTTTGTGGGGCTCTTCCAGATTTACTGAATTCTTTAGAGAGTATTTTTAAAAGTCCCCTCCCCCCAATTTCACCTTAAACAAAGAAGTTGCTAGTTTTTATCTTTATGCACTGTTTGTTACTAGACTAGTGGCATGTGCTCAAATTTATGGTACTTCTGTAGTTCCAAAATCAGGAAGAGCAGAATCTTCTAATAGAACTGGGATTAGATTTTTTTTCATTATTTTGTAATTGGTGAAGATAACTCTATTTTAAGAATTATCCTCCTGCATGGGGGGGGGGTGTTTTTTAGATGTTTTATTGGAACTGCTATATCTAATTGATATATATTTGGTCCAATAAAAGATACTGCCAAAAAACCCTTGCCTCTCCTATGCTTCCTGGACCATCATAGCTACAACAGTATACCAGCCCTTCCCTTTTATAAATTCTTTTGTGTGTCTCTGACTTATAGGAAAGATGGTGATTACTTTAAAACTATTTTAAGAGCTAGGTAGTGTTCCACCCTTCCCCCCATGCCCCCTCCCCGCAAAAAAAAAAATTATATACAAGTGACAGAGTTAGCTTTAAATCTGATTTGACAGGATTACACAGGTCTTGAGTACTGTGGCAGAAACATACTATGAAATGTTTGTCCCCTGTTCTGTGATTTTAGTTGTGTGATCTTCCATTGTAGAGAAATCTAAAATACAAGTGAGAGTTACATAAGTGCAAATTAAATGACATCCCATATGGTACTGGGGCTTTTAATGTCCTTTAGCTTTTCAGGATTTTAATGTATTCATTCAATTTTCTATCAAGCCAGAAGCATGTGTGAAAAGAGTAGCATGCACTGTATTAGTGATGGTTAAACAGGTGAAAGTTGTTTAGGATTTGGTAAATTGTGTCTAGAAAGAAGTTGCCCCTGCTTCATTAACTTGTTTAATCTATAGTGAAGCAGTTCATGATAGTGCAGCTGAGGCAGGCATCTGCTTTTGGTCAGTTAACCAATTTCTTAACATTGTCACATGATTTTAAAGCTTGGAAGTATCTGGAGCAAAAATGTTCACTATTACTAACAGTGAACTAGGAAAATGCTCTTAAGTGCTATGGAAGTGAGTATGCCAAGTAAGCCCAAAGACAAAGTATTAATATGCCCTATATTAAGATATATTATGCCCCTTGTCCAGTTTTCAGTGCCACTGGTCTCTTACCTTTTCAGAAGGAGATTTCCTGCTGAAGCAATGGACAGGTGTCTGCTTAAGGTCTTACTGGGTCTCTGAATTTCTTTTCACATTGGAAAAAATACTGGTATGTGTATTTGTTGTTGCCAGCTCCATTTTCCCTAAAATATTTTTCATTTAGGAGAAGAATAGACATCTGAATGGATAAATTTCAAACCATGCTTTTAAAGTGTGAAATAACTGTTACATTAGAGAGAAATATAAGAAAAACAACCTGTGATCCCAATGGGTATTTTTGCCCAGTGATTGTAATTATTTCACCAGAAATAAATGAACCTATATTTGGCTGACTGAAAAGTTGTTGGCTACTACCTACAACAGCACATTATGTACTTGTCCCAGAAACAGGTAAAACATAGTCAATAAAACTTTGGAAGGAGGTGGTTCTTAAAAACATGGGTTGAGTTTTGCTTCTTCTATCCTTATTTGTTCATAGCTTTTTTTTCCATTGTGGACTATTGGGGAAAAAGTAAGAATCTTATTTCTTTTATTTATAGTTTCTTTTATAGTGAAATGACTTGTCAACCTCTAGGGCTTAAAAGGCTTAAAATAACTTTAAAATATAAAAAAAATCAAGTTGACGGTGCCTTTTATGTTTCAGGTTCAGCTCTTTTAGAACACTTTAATGTTAGTACAGACAGATTTTTGTGTTGGTGGTGGAATCCTGTAACACACAGGGCTGAAAATAAAATATTTTGATATTTCTGAAATTGTCCTTTACACACTTTTAAAATGTTTCCTAGTGTTTAGTCGAGATGCCATAAATGATTAGCCTGTAAAACAGTTTGCTGTAAGCTGATGCCTATATAATAATTGACATAATTATAGCTAACAAGATTTAAAGAAAATTCGAAGCTTTCTCTGAGTTGGTATTTCTAATGAGCTAATGGTATGCGTGTAAATAAGAAATATTTAGAATTGTTCTACTTGCAGGAATGTCCATGGTGTAATGGTAGTTAATTTTACATAGCAATTAGATTAAAGCTCCTTCTCTAAAAATGTTTCTACTTTTAAAAAGGAAATTTTTTTTGTTTGTTTTAACTTGGAGAGAGACTTTAAGACACTCCTTTGGTACTTACATGTTATTTTGGACTAGGATAGTTCTCTAATCCAATTGAGAGAATAGCTTCCATTCTGTTTAGTGCAGTCTCAAGCATTGATCTTTACAAATTCTTACTCTACTTTCAGAAGTAGAAGAAAGAGTGGACTAGCAAAACTACAAAAACCACTCAAAACCTGTGTTAAAAGTTGAAAATCCTACTGGGGTTACTTACACTGTGATAGCACATGTATTTGTATATGCACTCTAGAGCAGAATGTTAGTAGTATGACAGCTGTGTGCACACAGCAACCATCTGGGTGCCTGATACTAGAAAGTGAATTCTGCCTACTCGACCTTCTAGTGAGGAAAGAAGACAGCTGTAGGAATTCCTCGGTCCGCCTATGAAGCTACCTTAAATTTATTTCTACTAGAGGAGACGAGACTCGTTTTTAAAACTTCTCCAAAGGGTCAATTTAACAACAGCCTGCTTGAAAATCAGAAGTTACTTTTGTCCAAATATAGACAATCAGAGATGCTAGTAATTTAAGAACTAGTTGAGGAAAGTGTGTTGTTATGTAGTATGCTAACTTCTACAAATACACAATGTGATGAGATGAGCCTTGTATAATTTGCAAGCGTCAGTACAACTGAACACTACTGGTAATTTTGATGGAATTTTTAGACTTGGTAATGAAATAAACCAGCACTTTTGCACATGAATATTAGAGAGTGCTGTGCTCATGTAAGTATGTAACTTTCTTTCAGGATTTTAAAGGTCTTTTAGGAGACATTAAATTGTAATGACGCAAGATAAAAAAAAAGGGTATTGGAGACTCTACAAAGTTAGTTTTTAAACCCCTCTCCTGCTAAGTGTTTGGATGAAAATGTGTTGCCCCTAACTAGAATGTCCTTTTTCCTTCCCCCAAAAGGAAGGAATAGCAGTTTTATCTAAACTTTTATTTCCTAGGCTAATTAATGTTTCTTCTCTTCATACCACATTTGCCAGCCTGAGTACATTCTTTTTATTTTGGGTACTTTGTATTAATCCCCTTCAAGTGTTTTAATCTAAGTGAAGCTGCACTACAGGCAAACCTACCATGTTTTATGACCTTTGTAAAATACCTGTATTGTGGTATAACTTATAACAGGCTATCAATCCCATTTATATTTAAGATAAATTTAATGTTACTATTCATTGCAATTCTTAGCTTTCCACTCAAGCATAGACTAGTGAGTGTAAAGACGCTTTCAGCCCAGAATTTAGACTTTCGTAATCAGAAGCTGACTGATTACTTCTGTGGGGGATTCTTACGCTACACATTCCAGCCTCCTGGCTATCTGCTGGTAGGATAAATGGTGACTCAGGTTTTTCCACTTCACATACATTTTGTGGGAGCAGAGAAATGTTGTTTTTGAAAGACTAGAAAAATAAGATTTTTAAAAATAGTGGTAGAAAACTTGAAGGCTACACTGTTTGGTACAGAGTTAGATAAAGTTGATGTCTCTTTTCAACATAAGGTTTCCCTAAATCTTGGGAAACCTTCCATTCAGTGGAGGCCGGAGACCAGGATTTGCTCAATGAACATAAGACTGTACTCGTCTTATGTTAAGTCATTTGACAGACTGCATAAAGATTTACCTCAAAAGAGTGGTCAGCT